TATTTTCAGCAAGTCAATCTTATCCTTGAGAGCATCAATTCAATGAAAGAAGATCTCGTGTCGTGCTTAAAGGTAAAAAGGCATATTTKAAAAAGTTTTCCTACAGTRAAAACCTTCCTATGTCAAGATTTGGGTTTATTGTTGACGTAACTGTTYTAGGAAAAGTCAGAAGCTGAAGAAAACATTTCAAAAGAAAATTTCAAACTTCGACGTAAGTCATTACAAAACTCACAACAGTTTTTAGAGAGCAATATGAAAGTAGCCAGTATACCGAAGATGAATAACTATATTATGTATCTTTAGTTGATCTTCAAAAGGAACAAGCGGAATCCATGCATCAGAGACAGAAGTAAGTAACAACTCTGTGCACAGGTTATTTCCAGTGGCTGCATTTTTAAAAACGAAACATACCTAACCAAATGTTCGTTGTGGACATCAGATTCTATCTATTAAAGAAAGGAATTGCCGCTTAAGCATGCATGTGAAGGGTTGGACTCGCCTTACATGACTGGGCCATGCCAATGAACTTAATTGATCGCCGTGAGCCCATGACACGTGTCAGGAGTCCCGTATTTATATAACATTAATMTTTTAGCCATGATTACGCAGTAACGGAAAAGAATACAGTTCTAGCGACATGTCGTAAACTGGAGGAACAACTCGAAGAAAGATCCAGACAAATACAACAGTAAGTTGCAATTTTCTCTTTCATTTAAGGCAGTATTCGATAATGAGGTGTTACTTCATGTTATTAGGCTACAACGAGAGGGGACTGTGAGTTTATGGCAACGAGAAAAAGCTAAATTAGTGAAAGATATCAATTCAAAGTAAGTGTTTTTGTGTGGCATGACTGATTTCAAATCCTGTATACTTGCAAACGATATGTGAGACACACTTTAGTTGTACGTTTGGTAAAAAATTTGTGTCTCATTTACTTTCGTAGCGAGGAACAATTAGAGAAAGAATTGAAAGATGTCAAAGAACAGAATGAAGACATAAAAACAAGACTGAATAGACGAATACAGGTAACACTATTTCAACAACAAATCAGAGAGGTTTGAAGGAATTTTTTGGAGAGGTTTGAAGGAATTTTTTGGAACTAAGGCAACTTACTTGAATGTGTATACAAAACAAGGATAAGAATGATAATTTATAAAATGTTTAAAATTAAATTAAATTAATAACGTTTTCGACTAAAAGTCATCATCAGTTAATGGTAGTTGTATGTTTTTCCAGGAATTGTCGGAACAAGTCAAGTTCTTAAAGATGGAACGAGACGTTAAAAATGGCGCTGTTAGGTTACATGGTACAGGTAAGTGTACAGTCTATTATTCTGCGTTACAGATTTCTTTATTCATTAATTCTTTCAACCTTTTATTATTTTTTCGTTTTCTCAGGTGGGAATGCTTCACAAAGCGAACTCGAGAAGATGCGGCAACAAGTATTCATGAAAGACAGAGTAAGTTAGTGAATATCAAAAAAATACGATTATAAATAAAAAAATAGGTAAATATTACTCATYTTTAAATTCCACAGTATCTACTCGTTGCTGAAGGAGAACTTCAAAAACAGCAAAAATATTTCATTGGTTTTATTGGAGGAATAAGCAGAGATTTTAGGTATGCTAGTGTATAAAATTTTTGCCACTTTTTTCTGTAACTCTTTTTTTAGTTCCTATTTGGTTCGTTTGCTTTTATTTTAGAATTTTGCTGGAACGGAGAAATTTGACGGTCAAAGACTACAGCAAAGATGAAAAAGCTTATGCTTCTATGTTRAACAAGATGTATGCTGCAGTTAGGGAAGGTGAATGATTTCAGTTCAGTTCAATCTTTTCWTGTAAACAGCAGGCGATTTAAGTATCCGTAAGCTCGCAAGTTCGTACTAGTAATTATGTACCAAAAACAGTTTTGATGAATAAGGTTCGTGGAGCTAGCAWTCATATTTCTTATATTATCTTTATTTTTTTAACAGGCAAACTTACAGAATTTAGAGCAACTCTACCCTCTCACTATTTAGGAATCAATGTCGTAAGTCTATGGCACCATATGACGACATCTTATTTCAAATAGAATGCTGAAGAGAAAATTTCTTGTTATTTGTGTTTACCAGGATCTCACGGGACATCCTCTGGGAAAGAAGCTTTCAAGGCCTTTCGTTGACCTCGAAAAGCATCTAGAGGAAGTARAAAATACTGACTTGAGGTATGAAAAGGCGCCCTTCCTATATCTATCCGTGTTGCTAGCAGCTATTTCTCTACTACACTACCCTGACWACTACTAGTAGATTGTTATTGGTTTAGTCTCTGCCTGAATTCTTATCATTACTGAATTGTTTTTGTTTATCTAGAGTTGATGTGAATCATCCATTACTAATGGGTTGGAGGGAAGGAAAGGATGGCACATCTTCGACATTAATTGGCAGCAAACCGAAATCTAAATCGGCACAAGGTACGGTATGTTGCTCGAACGCTGCTCGAACGAGAAACGACCTTCATGTTGATTACCTGAGTTCATCTTGTTGCGATAACAAACCTTGTTTCAATGTCCTTTAACTCTAATGTTTTGGTATAACTAATTTGTGTTGTTGTTATTGTTGGTAGTGTTATTGTTGATGTTGTTGGCGTTGTTGTTCAGTGTGTTCAGTGTGACACATTTGTCATTTGACCAGCTGTTATTTCAGGATTTTCATATAAAATGTTTTCTCCTTAGTATCTGGAGTCCATCCACAACTGGTAGATATGAAACAAAACAAACCACTYACCAAAGAAGCTTTGGAACACTTTCCTGAATGGACAGCAAAAGAGGTGATAGATCCCGTTGTGTGATGGAATATTTTAGAGATAGTCTCTAACTTTGTAATACTCMATTCTTTATAAGATTGAAGACCTTTATACACAATTCAAAGCTTTTGATGCCAACGATGATTTTCATCTTGACACACAAGAGGTAAGTACAATAAATAGTTCAATCAGAATCACAATCCAAGAATGAATAGTTACRTAGTCCTTACGTTTCTTCACACAGCTTCTTCGTGCTATACCAGATACTCTAGGAAGAATGGCAACGACAGAAGAAATCAAGGTGAGAACCACGATTTCAATTTTGGAATAAATCTTCTCAGGCACTCTTCTTCCGCGGGAACCAAATGCATGCATGTAAAGGGATTAATATACCTCCTTCCATATTTAATTCATCCGTGGACAGTTTTTGTAAAACAAGAGCCTATATATTCTACTCATTCCCCGCGTTCCAGGTCGTGATTATCAAACAGTTCTCATGCAGCTTTCCTGTTCCCAGAAGTTCTTTGATTTTTAATTCACATCATTAACTATGTTCACATTGATTATCTTTCTTGCTCAGGAAGCCATGATGGAAGTTGATATCGATTCTTCAGGAACTGTGGATTTTTATGAATTTCTTTGCGTCGCCAGACTAATTTCACAAGGAAAAGGTTTGAAATTGCTGAGAAAATGTCTTTKAAATTGTATTATCAATCGTATTTTGATGATGCGGCGCAGTTGCGATTAAAGCTGTGCGTCTGACATCAACGCGTGCAGATTTTGGCGCCATTTTCTTTACTATACTGCCCAAACAATGTTATTTTGAGTTTTTTACATTAATTACTTTTCCGTCATTTAGGAGAGGCTAAATTGTTCAAAAAGAAGACGCTGAAAGCTTTGCAGAAGCCAATAACTAACGGAGACAAAGCACAAGGATCTAAACTCTGCATTCTTCAGTAACTCATCCATGTGAATATTACTTATACAGCATTTTGGTGCTCTAGCTGTTGAATCTTTATCCTAAAATACACTCTCAAGAAGCACGACAAGCGAGAAAAGATGCCGAAAAACGGATACTGTGGAAACATTTCGCAAGTTCTTATCGACTTCAAGAACATGAACAAGAACAAGAAAACTAAGTAATTTATRGCTGACTTTGCATGCAAACAAACACTCGAAGCATGCTTTTCAGTTGYTTTATAATTTATGGTTAATATTTATTTGTAAATCTATTTTTCAAATACATCTTTAAAATATTGTACATAAATGTTATTAAATYAAGAAATTAATAAACTGAACATTTCAAAATTAACAGAGTATTGTTTTTAGATTTGAACTACAGAAAGTGTTTTAAGGCTTTATTATAACGATGTGTTCTGTTAACCATTAATTAAAGTGGACACTTATTTGGAGACTTACACAAAACTATGTTTTTGTTTCCCTTTTTAATGTTTGCAATTAACTATAATTTTACAATAAATATTTTGTCCCTATGAATAGAGCAGATTTCACAGGACTGCGGAAAACGATAAATCATGGCGTAGACATTGCACTGTCACAGAACTTAACCGGTTATTAACACTACACAAGACAGATGGCCTTAGATAGGATCTTATTATCTTTTTTGAAAAACAATTTATTTTAAAAACAACTTACACTTAATCAAGCGTAAGCATTTTGGACAAATCAAGGCTTTTCTTCATCGAGAAGTGACCACCACAAATTTGGTCACGAAGGAGTTTTATATAAAGAAAAGTAGCAAAGAGTATAATGGCTAAGGATATAATGGGTAGCAAAGGCCATATCTCTGGAGGGTGTGTGCAAGCCCTGCATTCATATCTGGATATGCCCACAATTTTTAATCAGCAGTGTTTTCTCCAGCCTTGTGGAGGTTTTGAAGAAAAGTTATATACTTGTTCTTCATCCAATCTTTATCTTGGGATGTAAGGTCTTATCTTCACAATAATGTCTCTATCGTCCTCAACAATTAAGTATTTATTTGGTTGTTCTCTTTAGCCCAATGTCATGTGGTTTTACTTTTTCTTCTGGAAAATAAAAATATATACTATTTAATAAAAACTTTAGAGAAATGATGTGATCTGGAATGCAATCACATTACTCTAAAACTATGGAGTTTTATTCTGCAAAACCAATTGTTTCCACAGAAAAGTTAAAACTGGAACGAACAAGGTATCTGTGGAAAACTAAGCAGTTAAAAGCTGATGTTCATGAATGAAGTAAGCACTCATTTTGYCTCCATTCACTAATATTCAAACAGGCATAGAGAAATGTCTCCTTGAGAATTAAATAATGAGTCTTGCTGAGCCTGTTGTATTCTAATCTAATATGAACAGTGGTTAACTCAAAATTGATGCTCCTTTGACCACTGTCAGTTATAATCCCGGCTGTACTTGTAATTTTCCTTTTTGAAAAGTGTGAATAAGGATTTTATTAAATTGAAAAAGGCCATTTAAACTTCTAAACTCTAATATATGACTGGGTCTATTGTTAGAAAGTGGAATTATAAGGCACACAACTTAAAGAATTGGATATATTTATTTATAAAATCAGCATTATCAGGTTCTTGTTAAACACAATATTTAAATATTATTGAATTCTTTGAGGTTTGATTTGGTTGGCCATCAAAATCAAGCTGGAACACTATCATGAAAACAAAAGGGTAAAATTAATATGTACAAATAAATTTTTTTATAGGTATATGTATAGATATTAAGATTTTTGAAAGGCAATGTCTTCAATCAAATAAATATTCCAATGATTTAATCGCTAAAATGTTTTGACGGAGCACTGGAGAGTAGGTTTAGATGTCAATCTTTTGTTGAGTCTAATCTTAGTGTAGAAGTTTAGTTAAGAAGCAGTCCGCACTCTGAATTTATTGACACTGGAAGATTTCATTAAGTTGGAAAAAACTGAATACAATCCATAAATGTCAAATTACTTACACCACAAACTTCTTATGAGCTACATGCAAGCAGTTTGATTAGACACGGCAAAAGATTGATGTCTGGACCAGGTCATATTTATTTCAAGTCACAATGCCTGAACTTACCTGAATAAAGCAAAAATTTTGTTTGGAATTCTAAATATACTTTTTACAATGTCCTGTCTTCTTCTCATAATTTGTCTATCAGCACTAACTCTTCTGTTAAATTCACACAGCCTTCTGTATACTCTTGGAAATCCATAATACTGAAAAATAAGAAAAAGGTTTTCATAAAAATAAGAGCATAAATAAACAACAACGAAGAGAATTCACTTTCAGACTGTAAGACTTTAAAACATATGTTTTATAAGTGAAATAAGTATAGAAATCCAACAGATCTAACTGAAAACTAAACTTGTCGAGCATGAAACACCTTTAGCTTATTTTAAGCAGTTGAACAATAAACATTGATTCAGATCTCCAAACCCATCATCGACTTACATCTTAACTAAATAAAAACAGTGTTTCCCAATACGGAATAAATCTCAACTATTTCACTGTTTTGCATCAAATACCAAAAGCCACTGAATATTGTAATGTGAACGTCGATTGCACGTGCAAACATTCTACAAACTTGCATCACCTGATTACCACTCAAAACATAAATATTAGCTTTGTTGTGATCAAAAAATACTCACCCTTCCTACAGCATAAACTGTTGCTTTCTTTCCTAACGATATGGCAATAATAGCCATTATCTTTTCCATTATTTTTGGTCTAAAAACACATTTACAGTTGCATAAGCGGAGCTAATCTGTCCGCCATGTTGCTTTACTAGTACCCAGGGCCGCTCGGAAAGATTGTGAAATTTGACTGTGACATCAACCAATATAATAAGAATCGAGGACAGAAAAGCCCGCGCTTTAACGCACTTACAGAACTTCTGATCTGTTATAGCGCGTTTTATAAACACTAGTAAGTTCAGAATAGAAATGATATGAAAACGCTATGCAAATTACTTTTCTATCGTTATAAGACTCAATAAACCAGCCACAATTTCATTAGTATCAAAGTATTTTATTTACAATTAGTTATTTACATCGATTAACTTATTTACAATCAAAAAAATGCTCTTTAAAAATACATATTTACGAAATTATCTGTTTATTGTTGTCTTTGAAATACACGAACACCAAACGCAGCAGTTTCGAGCATGTAGTGGTGTGTCAACCTGTACGTTGTGTTGGACGGTTGACAGCTATCGGTCTTCGAGTCAGGTAGAGATATYGGCTGGATCTTGTCGGTGAATTCTGACGGGAAGTGAAATAGACGTGGAGCAGGCTCAACAGGGAGGCTATCCCAGTGGTAGGTGAACTGAGGAATATCATACGGGTAGCGGCAAGACGGCATGGTCGGAGTATACATGGTGCAATCAAAAGACTCGGAGGACGAGGATCTGTTCTGTCTACGCAAGCGAGCACGACGGTTCTGGAACCAAACCTGATGGACAGAAACAGAAGCTTTGATTAGTGACTAATATTTCTTCATTTTTTAAATGGAGAAGCATGGTCGTCCCTTATGCAATAAATCAATTACAAAAGTATTCAGTTTGAAACAGAAGTACATACTACATACATACTTCTGGTTTGAAATAATTAAGACATTCGTTGGTGTGTGGTAAATTTACCTGAATTCTGTCCTCTCTAATACCAAGTTCGTCACTTAGTTGTTCTCGTATATGAATTCCAGGAAACACGTTTTGTTGGAAAACTTCCTCGAGCCTTTTCAGTTGTTTGCTTGAGAAGATTGTTTTTCTTCTTTGGTGAAGGGATCGAGAACCTATGGAAGCACACAAAAACTATAATTCAGCGATGATGATAATCAATAATACCTGTACTTTATGCTAACTACAGGTACCAAATGTGCTAGACAGAATCATAAGAAAGCCTGTATGCAAGGCGTAGCGTACAAGTTTGACATRACTTATTGGAATTGAGCTATGGATAACTTACGTTGATTGCTGTATGATTTGTAGTCCATCTTCGATTTACTTTATCTGTCGACGATACAGTGGTTCTAGCTATTCGGTGATATGTTGAGTCCAGTGGATCAGCTGAGTTGTGACTGAGGCTCCCTTTGACCCTTCTATTTATCCCAGGGACCATTGAAAATACGATCAATATCAAAACAATAGTAAGTTATGGCAAACAATCAACAACAAAAACAGACAAATGATACTATTGTTGGTGATTGAGTGGTTACTTCACAATAGCAAGACAGCGTCTTTTGTTTTCAACGTTTGCACTTATTGTTTATCGCTGTCATTAATCAGCAGTGACGCTGCTTCATATAAACAACTGCTTTGTTTCGTGTGAGTGGGTGTGCTTTGTTTTTAGTGAATGGGTGTGCTTCGTTTCGTGTGAGTGCGTGTGCTTTGTTTCGTGTGAGTGGGTGTGCTTTGTTTCGTGTGAGTGGGTGTGCTTTGTTTCG